AGGCACAGTAAGAGATTAACCACAATAGCTAATAATAAACTAGACCAATGATAACCATATGCTGTAATATTAATAATAAATTCATGTGAATGTGTCCGCTGTCTCTCAACATATCTTAATATTTTCAGACCACAGTTGACTGCCAATAACTGAAACCCTGAAAAGCCAAACCGAGGATGGGGAGTGACTTCTGTGTATTACAGGCATGGATGCATGGGAAGCTTTCAGTCTCAGGTGCACAGCCTATCTCCACCATCAGATTGGGGACATGTAGGTTTTTAAAAACTGAATCTATTTTATTTTGTTAATTGATAAAAACTGTATATGTTTGTCATGTACTACCGTTTTTAATTGACAAAAACTGTATATGTTTGTCGTGTTCTGTAATATATATATGTTTTGAAATAATTAGCTCAACCGAGCTAATTAACATCTGCATGACCTCGCATACTCATTTTTTTGTAGTGAAAAGACTTAACAGCTTCTTTTTCAGTGATTTGCAAAACACAATGCTTTGTTAATTAGGCGACCTAGCTGGGCTCTGTGGCTCAGCCTGTAATCCCGTGCTTGGGGAGGCTGAGGTGAGTGGATTTACCTGAGTCTGTGGGTTCGAGACCCACCTGGGCAACTTGGTGAGCCCTCATCTCTACAATAAACAAAAAAATTAGCCAGGCGTGGTAGCATGCGCCTGTAGTTCCAGCTACTTGGAAGGCTGAGGCTGAAGGATTGCCGGAGCCCAGCAGGTCGAGGCTGTGGTGACCTGGAGCGTGCTACTGCACTCCGCACTCCAGTCTGGGTGACAGAGTAAGACTTCAACTCAAAAAAAAAAAAAAAATTAGGCGACCTGTAGATTTATGAACAACTTGATTTCCAGAGCTGGAAGGAAACTAAGATGATGTCTCAGGGAACTCCTCCAATTCTTTTCTTTTCTTTTCTTTTTGAGATGGGTTCTTGATATATTGCCCAGCCTGCTCACAAACTTCTGGGTTTAAAGAACAAGGATTGAGTTTAGGGTCTCCTGTTAGGCCTAGACTTCCTGGGATCAGGTAAACAGTGAGGGCCTGCGAAGCTGGGAGACTGGGTCTGGAGACCAACGGCCTCAGGGAACCCCTTACAGGGCAACCAGCTGCCCCCTCCCGGGCTGAGGATGAGGGACAGGGCTGAGCCCTTCTACTGGCCAAGGTTGGCTGCCCTCTGACCACCTCAGTCCCCAGAGGAAACACAGCCTCCCCCTCCCTCAGAGTCCACTCTTCCCAGCTCCTGAAGTTCAGTCCCAGGCTTGCCTCAGGTAGGCCTGCCGCTGCCATCTTGCTGGGATCTGATCCTCATACAAACCCTTTGCCCATAGACCATGACACTGGGATGGCCAGCCCCTTTCTCCAAAACCCCAGTGGAGAGAAGGGGGGAGGATTCCTGCCCTGCCTTTCACCCAGAGACCTACTTTCCAAACAGTCTGAGGGAGCATCCAGACTTGGGGAGCACCCAGTCTGATGGAAGAGTTACAGTCCTCACCCTCCGGGGCACCCTGTTTGGTAGACACAGCCTCTTCTCTGGGGAAAGGCCCGAGACTGCAGGGGTCACAGGTGTGAAACACCCATCAGAGCTTACCTGGGGAGTACAGCATGCTGGTGGCCAGCTCGGAGTTGACAGTTGAAGGTTGAGTGGTGGGAGGAGAGACCCTCCCCCCCAGAACTCTCTACTTGCAGTAGGATTCCTAGGTCACTAGCCTGTTTAACAGCTGCCCTCCCCTTCCCTCCTTCCCAACTCTCACTGCCAGAAACCCAGCCCCTCCCATGGGGCCAGTCTCAGTCCTCCAGCAGAGGTCCACCCTGTTTGGGGACAGAGGACCCCTATCCTGGGTGGCCTCCATAAGCCTGACTGTCCTCACCCTGTCATCCAATCAGGACAGGCCCAAGTCCCTTTCTTTCAGCCCAAAGCTCCCAGGAAAAGGGTTGTGCCTGACACACCAACCTGATCTTTCTGTCAAAATGGATCGCCGGAGCCCAGCAGGTCAAGGCTGCGGTGGCCGGGAGCGGCCACTGCACTACAGTCTGGGCGACAGAGTGAGACTCTAACTCAAAAAAAAAAAAAAAAAAGTCTTCATTTCCAAAGCGCCTTCCCCGCTGATGTGGCGTCCTCCCTGTGTATCTGTGTCTCCACATGGCACCCTCCTCTGTGTCTCCTTCTCTTTCTCCCTCTTTTTTATTTTTTTGAGTTGGGGGTCTCACTCTGTCATCTAGGCTGGATGCAGTGGCATGCTCCCGGCTACTGCAGCCCCAACCTGCTGGGCTCAGGCCGTCCTTCTGCCTCAGTCTTCCAAGTAGCTGGAACCACAGGTGTGTGCTACCACATCCAGGTATTTTTTTTGATTTATTGTAGAGATGAAGGTCTCGCCAAGTTGCCCAGGTTGGTCTCGAACCTGTGGGCTCAGGTAATCCTCTCACCTTGGCCTCCCAAAGTGCTGGGAGCCACTGCACCTGTCCAGACCTCATCTTAAATTAACAAATTATATCTGCAAAGACTCTATTTCCAAATAAAGTCACAGTCTCGTGTACTGAGGGAGAAGAGTTCCACATATCTTTTTGGGAGATGCAATTCAACCCACAACATTCTCCCAATGGGCTGCAGTCTGGCACGGTTAGGCCGCTGGTCTGAGTATGTCCTGTCTGTTCATGGAAAAGGAGACTACTTTAAGCTGGGGACTCTGTTTCAGAGCATAGTCTTCACCAGCGTGTACGATTGTTCAGGACAGGGACTGTCGAGGTCACCCCAGTGCCCCTCAGCCCTGCCTGTCAATAATCAGGCACAGAGCAGGCACTCAGGCAACTGGCCGGAATCACAGAGCCTGTTCCAAGCTCCAACACAAGCTGACCGTGGGCAAGTCCTCCCCTACTCTCCTTTCTGTATCTCGATGTCCTCAACTACAAGAATATATACATGTATATTTTAGAGACAGGGTTTCACTCTGTTGCCCAGGCTAGAGTGCAGTGGTTTAATCATAGCTCACGGCGGCCTCAAATTCCGGGGCCTAAGTGATCCCCCTGTCTTACCCTCCCAAGTAGCTAAGAATACTAGTTTATTAAGTTATTGTTATGTGCCAAACATTGGGTTAAGAACTTTCTACTTATTTAATCTTTTAAACAGCTCTAGGCATGGTATTGTTATTCTCATTTTTAGATGGGGAAGGTGGGGTCCAGAGGCCACACAGCTGGTAAGTGGCCAGGTCAGGATTTGAACCCGAAACCTGTTTTTTTTTTTTTTTTTTTTTTTTTTTGAGTTGGAGTCTCACTCTGTCGCCCAGGCTGGAGTGCAGTGGCACACTCACGGCCATCCCAGCGTCACCCTGCTGGGTGCCGGCGATCCTTCCACCTCAGCCTTCCAAGTAGCCAGAACTACAGGCACATGCTACCACACCCAGCTAATTTTTGATTTATTGTAGAGATGAGGTCTCGCCAAGTTGCCCGGGCTGGTCTTGAACCCGCGGGCTCAGGCAATCCACATGCCTCGGCCTCCTAAAGTGCTGAGATTACAGGCTGAGCCACCAAGCCCGGTCAAACGTCAGCTCTTATCCATTATTTTCCGCTGCCTCCAGCTGTAAAAAGGAAGTGGACTTTGGGGGTCCTGTATCCTCACTTCCCCTTTCTATGAATCTACCCTTTGCACTCTTGGCTCTCTCAAATTGTGATCGGCCTCTGCCCTGAACTCTGACGAGGCACTGGGGCAGAGTGGTGGGCAGGGGTGTCTCTTCTGATGCCCTCCCACCTGGGGAAGGGCTCTCCTTGGGTCCTTTGCTGTGCGTGCCCAGTGGGCATTATCTAGATCTGGGTCTGTCCAGGCCACGCTGTGCAGACAACAGCCCTTGCCAGACAGTGGGGCGTCTGCCCAACCACACAGAAAACAGGCTTCAGGCACACCAGGTGTCTTCACACGGCCAAAGGGCTTCTTTCAAAGCCGTGCCAATTTCTGCCCACTCCCTAGCTGGCACTCTGCTCCCTCACCTTGGCCTGGCAGCGCCCCCAACCCCAGGACTTTGGGGACTCCACCAGGGAGGTCATGTTTCACGAGGCTACAGACCTGACATACATGTGGAGGCTGAGGCCAGGACCAAGGCCCAGACCTCTCTGCCATCGCTGGCCACCTCCTCCCATAGGCTGGGCTTGGGCGCTCCTGCCCCTTGCTGGTGCCAGCAATCTTCATCAGGGTTGCTGCATCTGCCGCTCCTACTGTTGTGGTTTCTTGTTGACTCTCTACAGGCCTTTGTGGCACTTGTTTCCTCCTCCTCTGGGGTCTCTTCTCCCTCCTGGGAGTTCCCTTTATTTTTTTTCCGCGGCATTGCATAGTGAGTTAGTGAAAGAATCAGGACTGGAACACAGGCCTCCTGGCTCTTGCTGTACACACGATACGAAGGGAGATCCAAAAAACCCGGAATTATCTTTGGGAGGGCAGGCCCCTTGTAGTACAGGCTACCCCACTAGGTAAGTTTCCTAGGAGCCCATAGGCGTTACTGAACCAGTTAGTATTGTTGTGAGAGGCCGTGTCTGGCTTCAGTGAAAATTTTTTTGCAGATTTTTTCAGTGCATTTGCCCATTTCATGATAGGCAATTTACAAGCTCAGGAGGGGCTTTGTCCTGGACCAGCACATGGGTTTTGCATGGCCTTTCTTCCTTGAATCTGTCCTGTATGTCCTCTCTCCCCCAGCTTTGAGTTGAGACCTCTTTTCCTGATTGTAGTGAATTCCAGAGACCCTCAGGGATTCAGGGGATGGGTGGGACAGAGGGGGCGGGGCTGGTGTGGTGGCCACTCAGCACCAGGGCCCTTCCTGCCTGAGACCCCTCTGAAGCCTTTCCCCTGGCCTTACACTCTCTTCTCCCTGCTGGAGGCTAAACAAGAGGTCCTTGCCCTGGGTCTTGTAGGGACCCTGAAGGAGCCCTGCGAACCCACAGGAAGATGGAGAGGCCCAGCCCACGTGACCAGGGCGGCAGCACGAGTCAGACACCCACTTCAGACCTTTTCTCTTCGTTTTTATTTTAAAGGAAAAAAAAAAAAACCAGTGCAAAACCCCATTTTTCCAGTGTCAGCCTTGCCCACCCCCACCCCCAGGTCACCCCCCCGTTTGGGGCCTGATTCCTTCTCCCACTCAGCATCCCCTCCCCTCTCATGCATCCCAGAGGGGCTGGAGGTTCCACTTCCCTGGAGAGCCAGATCCCAGGGGGAACTGGAGGGAGGAAAGAACTGGGGGGGCCAGCCCCTGATCCGCCTGCCCCCCCGGTCTCCAACCATGGCATCAGGTACCCCTCTTGGCTCTCATTAACCCTTTCCTGGCCACACTACTAGCTGGGGGGGGTATTGATCTGGGGGAACTTCCTCCACACCCCACTTTGCCCCGGGGCCGGCTCGGGGCGCTCCTCACTGAGGCTGGGGGGCTCCCTCCCTCCATCATGGGGGAGGGTGGCGAAATCCCCAGGTTTAAATACCTTAATGAAAGCAGGGGACGGGAGAGGAAGGGGCTTTAGATCTAATAAATTATTAGCATTTTAGTGTCCGTGGGGGTGGGGGTGGGGTAGGGCAGGGCGTGGCCTCCAGGGCCCCCCTCCCCTTACTGGTGAATCTCATTCTCTATGAGGCTGTCCTCGCAAGACTGGAAGTCTGTGTCCGTGAGGCCATCGGGCGGCATCAGCAACTCCTCATCTTGGGACGAGGACGATGGGGGCTTGTCCCCTGAGCTCCCAGGAGCCCCATCCCCATCCCCGTCCACCTCTGAGTCCTGCAGCACCTGAGCGATGTATCTCTGGAGGGGGAGAGGAGCAGGGGTGAGGGGGACAGCTGCCCCTTGTGGTTTGGGGGGACCGGGGAACCCCAGGGCTTGTGGGACAGCAGGGCAGGAAGGGTGCTGGGAACAGCAGTGACCTGCCCAGGACAGGGGGCAGCCCTCCAGTGAGGCCCAATCTCTACCCACCCCCGGGTCAGAACAGGCATTCTTTTTTGCACTAACGGGACAGCCAGCTTTGGGCCTGAGTCTCAGTCAGAGGTCCCTCCCTACCCTTGGCCATGGGGCAGGGCACTCACCGCAGATTTGGGGACAGCAGCAGCAGTGGGGGGCCGCCCATTGCTTCTGGGGTCCACAGTATCTGTCTCCGTGTGCTCAATCTTGAGGGATCCGGAATGAGTCAGGGGAGCTGGGGCAGGGCTCGGCCCCCATCACGGCCCTACACCCTCTGGGCACCGGCCGGCCCTGCCCTTGGCCCTCCCCGTCCCGGCGAGCCCCCTCTGTGCTCTCTCGAGCTCCTGCCCGAAGCCATCACCCAGCTACCCTCGCCCACCTTGTAGTTGTGGGCACTGAGGTATTTGAAGTGTCCGAAGCAGACGTGGCAGAGACAGATGACGATGGTGATGACCAGGACCACGAACGTGAACATGGACGTGGGGGCGAGAAACCCTGGTGTCGGGGGGCAAAGAGCGGAGCTGCAACCTCTCCTTGGGGCTCCTGGGGCCTCACGCCCAGCCTTTGCTACCCGCTGAATGTGCGTCTGCGCTCCCACATTCTCAGCCTCCCCCAGGCCCCTCACTTGCCACCCCAGCCACTGGGCCCCTCCCGTGGTCTGCTCTGCCTGGACTCTGGATGGAGCCCCTCCGCCCTGGCCCCTGTTCCCTGGGTGGGGTCGGAAGGCCCTCACCCGTGCGCATGGTGGAGAAGAAGAGCAGCCAGAAGAGGCAGAGGATGGGTGCGGCCACCACCTGGTTCACAGCCCCCGAGTGGATCTTCTTGTCCAGCTTGGCCGGCAGGTAGGCATAGTAGAGATTGTACCTGTCTACCAGGTGCTTCAGCAGCATGTACATCAGCCCTGGGAGAAGCCACACGGCTCTGACCTTGGAACCAGCGCCACTGGACCTTGGTGCGTCCTTCCAGGATGGCTGGAGGGTCAGCCCCTCCTCCTGCCCGGGCTCCAGGACAGGATGACACCCCATATCCCCAGCAGGACCATCGAGCTTCAGTTTCCACCACTGCAGCCCCTTCCCTCACTCTGCGGCCCCGTTAGGGAGCCTACTATTAGAAATTCTCTCTCTGGATCAGCAAGCACTCTGTTGAAGCCCTCATTGCTTTGTTCTATCCCTGTCCCTAAGCAGATGAGTAGATGTTAAGCGAGTGCTATTTCCCTGAAGGCTGAGGGGACAGGAGTTTCCAGGAGGACAAGGAAGTCAGTTTGGGAGTCTGGAGCCTTCAGTAACCAGGGAGGGTGTTAAGGGGTTAGGATGTTATTAAGGGGAAAACAGAGGCTGCTAGCGGGAGCGATGGTTGCAGAGCAACTTTGTTAAACTTCTTCAGAGAGCAAGACAGACTTGCCCAAGTCATAAGCTGAGTTATAGCAGGATACCTCCTCGATTGGAAGGGCCCACCCCCTCCCTGGAGTCCAGAGGTCTTTCCTGAGTTTATAGGGCAGTGTACAACTGTGCTCATGTGTAGGAGTGTATGTATGTATGAACACGTCAGCGGGTATGTGATGTGTGTCTAAGCATGCCCAGCTAAGGAAGCATCGGTGTGGGTGGGAATGGCCATGTTGGGGCAACTTTATCCAGGGGCCCAGCAGGCTGGCTGGGTCCTGCCCGAGCTGGGATGGCTCTCCCCCTCCTCCCCCCAAGGCCGGGCCCCAGAGTGAGCCAGGTACCAGGCGGGAGGCCTGACGGGCCGGTCTCCCAGCCGGGGCCCTGTCCACCCAGGGTGGCCTGCCTTCCTAGAGTGGAGTAGGTGGGGTCCTGGGTCCCCCCGAGCAGGGCCCAGGTCCCGGCGCGGCGGTGCCTACCGAAGGGCACGATGATGGGGCAGGTGATACTGTAGGTCATGACCACCGTGAAGACGCACATCATCCAGGCGTAGGCTGCGCCAAACTGGAACTCGTAGGCCTGATGCTGGGGGGGAGACGGGCAGGAGGGTGGCTCAGGGGGGAGGGACAGGGTAGGTGGGAAGGGAAAGGGGGCCAGGACCTCTGGGGCCAGGAAAGAAGCCATGGGGCTGAGGGCTCTAAATGTCTGGGGTGGGGTGGGGTGGGGCGGGGCAGATGCAGAGAGGGGCTGTGGCTGAGGAGGGGTCAGGGCGGGTGCAGTGCTGGGGCACAGGGAGGGGCCTTCAAGGGACTGGGGGCTGGCAGGTGAGGAGGAGCTGGGTGGACTTGGGAATGGGATGCCCCGAGCCCCCTTGTTGAGTTAGGCTGGACGGACCCTAGCTCTAGGGACCCAGATCTCCCCAACTCCATCACAGAACACCGTTGTCAGGACTAGCAGGGGCCTCTGGGTTATCTACATCCACCCATCGTGGGAAAACTGAGGCCCCAGATATGGGAAGGAGATGTCCCAGGACCACGGAACTGGACTCCCCAAGTCCCAGACCCCCGTGCCCGCCGCCCTCGCCCGACGACTGCTGTTTCTGTCTGGGCCACCAGGGGGCGCTGTGCGGGCCGCTGTGCCCCCGGCGGCCGTACCCGCTTCACGTTGCGCCTCTCGGCGGCCGAGCGCGCCAGGCAGAGCCGGATCATGTACATGAGCAGGCCTGGGATGCGCAGCAGGTCCATCGCGTTGCCGATAAAGGCTGAGGCAATGACGTAGTTCACGAAGAAGGCGCCGTTGTCGGGCAGGAACACGCACCTGCGGGCACCAGGTGCTCCAGCACTGCACCCCTGGGGTGACCCGGTGGCTGCCTGCCCACCGTCGGCATGACAGCACACCATGCCTTCACCCCCACGTGCTTCCTCCGTGTGGACACCCCCGACACAGCCCCTCAAGCACTTGTGCCCCAGCCCTCCCCCCAGTGTGAACCCCAGAGACAGGTGGCAGAGTGTCGACGGACACCTCCCCAGTAACTCTCAAAGTGTGAGCCCAGAGGTGCCCTCGGAACCTGCACCCCATAAAGACCCATGGAGAGAGTGCCCAAGACTGCCTCAGGGCCCTAGAATGTTCAGGGTTGACTGCCCAGGATCTCCATTAGACAACCCTGTGAAACCCTCAAAGACCTCGAAGGGTATGAGTTCTGGAACACCCAGAAGGTTCCCCTCTTAGACATTCACACAGAGTGACCCCCAGAGGATGAGTCTCAGACACCTCCCTCAGATATCTTTGGGGTGGGGGGAGCCCAGGAGTCTTTGTCAATGCCTGAGGTGTTCCAAGTGCAGGACCAAGATCACCACAGATGGTCTAGAGCGAGACTCCTAGAGTGTGTGCCCCTATATGCTGCCAGGATATGAGCCCCCAATACACCCTCACAGGGATTCCCAGGGAAGATGTCCCATGAAAAACTCCATAGCCATGCCCCTGGATGAGTGCTTTAAACTGTAGCGACACTCCCAGAACTTGTGTGTATAAACGCCTCAAAGGGTGGACCCCACGGCCTCCCGAGCTGCTCCCAGAGTTGTAAGGCCAGGAGCCTTCCATTGCTACCCCAAGATACAGGATCAAGAGACCTTGAGGGACACCCCTAGTAGCCCCCAGGTCACTCCCTCAGTATGACCAACATCCCACTACAGATACTTCCCAACCCTCCCAAGTCACACTCCAGACTCCCACAGTCAGTCCCAGATGATGAGCCCAAGAAGCCCCCATAGAGAAACCCCGCTCCCGAGTATGGGCCCCAGAGCCCCAAACACCGCTTGAGGGTGATCTCAGCATCCAGGCAGGCTACCAGGGAGTAAGCCCCACACAGACCCCAGGGACTTCTTCATGTACACATCTGAGACCCCTGGGTGTCTGCCTTGGGATGATCCTGCCAGTCGCGTGCTGCCAGCCCCCGCCTCCCTGTTCCGGGGTCAGAAGCCTTGCTGCACCTTCCCATGGGGCTGGCAGCGCCTCTCAGGTACACCCGCCCCTGGCCATCTGGTTTCTTTCCCCAAGGGCCCCGTCACTCACTCAAACCGAATAGCTGCCTCAGCCAAGAATTTCTTATCAAAGAGCCAGCGGAAGAAGAGATCCAGGCTGGAGGGGAGAGGAGGGGAAGGGGCTGCAGTGGGGCAGAACACCAGGGGAGGGAGCCCCCTGTGAGCCGACAGGAGACGGCCAGACACGGGGCGGGTAACACAGTCTGGGGATGGCCGGGCCCCTAGTCTTGTGCCCCTCACTTGTGGGGTTGGGGGGAGCCTAAACTGCTCCCTTCCCTTTCCTGCAACCCCCTACCCTGTCCCACCCCCAAGACTCACCTGCTCAGTCCCAGTGAGGGCAGGAGCAGCACCATGAAGATGAGGAAGGTGTAGCACTTATGCATGGTGGTCCTGTTCTCCCCAGAGCTGGCAGGCAGGGGCAGGGGACAGGTGGAGGTCAGGTGAGCCCAGCCCCCTGCCTGCTCCCCCAAGCAGGACAGCGTGTGCTTCCCGAGGTGAGGGTGCTAGGCTCCACCCCTTTCCTGGGACTGCCTGGGGCTCCCAATGGGGCTGAGTACACCCTGAGGGAAGGCCATGCGGGATGTGTGGGACATGGGGGCATCTCACCGTGTCCAGTGGGCTTCGAAAAAGGCCGAGTAGTAGACGATGGTGGGGAGCAGGGCGGAGAAGCACCACAGCAACAGGGTGGGGAAGAACTGGGTGATGATGGGGTTCTGCGAGGGCACAGGTGGGGCATCAGGTGGGCCCAGTTGTGTCTACCTGCCTCCCCAGATGAAGCCCTGGGCCCCACAGCTCTCAGCACCATGTCAGATGCCTAGAACATCTGGAGGGCCAGGGGTGAGGGGGGGAGCCAGGGTCATACGTACAACCTCAGGGTGGATAACAGTGCTAGCACTTGCTGAACACCTACTGTGTGCCAAGTACTGTTCATGTGCTTTCCGTGTTTGTTTTTTTTTGAGTCGGAGTCTCACTCTGTCGCCCAGGCTAGAGTGCAGTGGCATACTCATGGCTACCGTAGCCTCGACCTGCTGGGCTCAGGTGATCCTTCTACCTCAGCCTTCCAAATAGTTGGGACTACAGGCATGTGCCACCACACCCAGCTGCTTTCCACGTATTAATCCTCATAACAATTATACTGCCCCATTGGACAGATGATTAAACTGAGGCAAGAAGACATTCAACAGCTTCCCCAGCTAGAAAGGAGTGGGGTTGGGATGTGATCCCAAGCAGTCTAGGTCTTATCTATTATGCTATTACCACTCATAGTGATTTCCTTTTACTTTTTCTTCTTCTTTTTTGAGTTGGGGTCTCACCATTTTGTTGCCCAGGCTGGAGGGCAGTGGCACAATCATGGCTCACCACAGCCTCGACCTCTTGGGCTCAGGTGATCCTTCGCCTCAACCTCTCAAGTAGCTGGGATTACAGGCGCATGCAACCACAGCCGGCTAATTTTTAAAAGTTTTTTGTAGAGACGATGTCACGCTACACTGCCCAGACTGGTCTAGAATGCCTGTGCTCAAGCAGTCCTCCCGCCTTGGCCTCCCAGAGTGCCAGGATCACAGGCATGAGCCGCGGCGCCATGCCTCATGGTGATTTTCAAGCTGTTCTCCTTCGAACTCTGAGGTTCCAAGGAGACATGCTGTGTGTATGTGGGAGGGTGAGGGAGACCAGACAGACGTGGGTCACTCTCGTGTCCTCTGAACAGCCTTGCTTTTCCACATTGTGTTCCATGTGATAAATGGATCAGAACCTAGTTCTGAAAGCCAATAGCCTAGTCTAACCCTTCCACCTTTCAGCTGGAGAGACTGAGTGATAAGGAAAAGGGACTTTTCAGAGGTCAGGACTGGATCCAGGCCCTCTTTCTTCCCTGGGTGTTTCTCTAGGACTCGCAAGCCCAAGGGGCCTCTCCAAGGAGAAGGTGGTGGGGACCCCAAAGGAAGTGCACAGAGGGTTTTGCAGCCCATGTGGGGCTGGGCTGGACCAGGCAGAACAGGAGCTGGCCTGGGCAGGGAAGGAGGGACTGAGGCCTGGCCTCTGTGTGTCGTGACCCCACATAGGAGGGGCACGGGCCTCACGTTGAGGTATTCCACGGGCTTGGTAACGTTGAACTTGTCCATGGTGGTGATGATGATGGCCGGGGTGGTGAGGAAGAAGAGGAGGATGAAGAGGACAACATTGATGACCAGGCAGCGCAGCCACCAGATGAAGCCCCGGATGGAGAGGTGCTCCCTGGGAAGGCAGGGAGGGGTCACTTGGGGACCAGGGGCACGACCAGCTCCCAGCAACACCAGGCCTTCCCTCTCCGCCCCCACCCACTGAGCCCACTCCGGGCCCCGAGAAGCCTGCCCCACCAGCCCTGTTGGCTCACCAGTAGATGTTCTGGGGGTCAGGGGCATAGGACACGGTCCAGTTGGAGATATGGAGAGACTCGCTGCAGGATGAGGCACGGGGCTCCCCACGGCAGGCGCAGCCCTGGCACTTACACACGTTGAAGTCTTTGAGGATGCTGGGGAGGTGGGTGCCGGTTACCTCGGACCCAGATGGGGGCCCGTGAGCACAAGGGCCTGGGAGCCCTGTCGGGCTGCTGGGGGTGAGAGTTGGGGGGTGGGCAGGCGGGGCTCACTCACATGGCGGTGATGGTCTCGTTGTGGAAGGTGACGAAGGCCATGCCAAGAGGTTTCTCGTTCACCTTCTCCTTCTCCCGCTTGTAGTCTTCCTTCAGCTTCTGCTCCAGCTTTGTGTAGTACTCGATGGCCTCCACCTGTGGGAGGCAAGGGACAAGGCCTGGTGAGAGAGCGGGGTGGGTGCCTGCGCACCTGGCCTAAGCTTTTTATAGGAATCAGCTCGCTGAATCATCACAACACCCTCATGAAGCGGGCCTGATTACGGGTCTGGGCGGAGCTCACTCCCTGGTAACCCGCCTGGATGCTGAGATCACTCTCAAGGGGTATTTGGGGCTCTGGGGCCCACACTCGGGGAGTCTCTATGGGGGCTTCTTGGGCTCATAATCTGGAACTGACTATGGGAATCTGCAGTGTGACTTGGGAGGTCTGGGGAAGGAAACGGAGGCACAGAGCAGTTAAGCAACTTCCCCAAGGACCCGGAGTGAGCCCAACGCCGACCTTCCAGCTGACCTCTTCTAGTTTCAAGGGGACACTGAGCCTCCAAGGACTCCCGGGACAGGTGGGGACTCGCCAAGGGAAAGTGCCAGCGGTGCCTTCCCAGAGCCGTCAGGGGCTCCCAGAGCCCAGCAGCTGGCCTACACACTACCTGCTCGCAGCCTCGAACCACACAGCAGCAGAGGTGGCCGCAGGGCTTGGGGTTGATCATGGTGGGCACATTCTCCTTGCTCTGAAGGTTGGTGAAGTAGAGCTTTCCCCGCTCCGCCTTCTTCCTGTGGGACCCAAGTGCCCATCACTCACTGTCCGGCTGAGGCTGGGGCTAGCTCAGCAGAGGGGCCATCTAGCCCATTCCCCAAGGGCAGGGGCTGTCTTGTTCTTGAATTTCTTTAGGTCCCATGGTTCAGATACGTCCCACCCCAGGGTCTCCCTACCCACCCACCGAGGGCCAGAAGTTCTTCTTATAGCCTGGTCTAAATTTCTCATACAGTAGCCTCCAGGCCCTGCTCATTCCAGGGCTGAATTGATAGGCACCCAGGGGTTGGATGAAAAACCCATGGCCAGGAAGCATCTGGAGGAAAGCCAGGCTCCTGGGTGGCAGCACGATGCCCTCCACATGGGTGGGGCCCCCAGCCCTTTACCTTTCAGCATCGAGGAACATGAGGCGGGCCACGTTGTAGCATGGGCGGGCTTCGAGGACCGTGCAGTTGGGGTAGGCCTCCCTGGAACACAGGCCTCTATCGTCTTGTGCAGAGACCCCAGCCATCCACCCCTGACTTTCACTCATGACCCCATCACCTTCAAGAAACATGCCCCCGCAAGCCCGGGTTCGGTGGCTCAGCCTGGAATCCCAGCACTTTGGGCAGCCGAGGCAAGTGGATTGCCTGAGTCCGCGGGTTCGAGACCCACCTGGGCAACTTGGCGAGCCCTAGTCTCTATAATAAATAAAGAATGAGCCGGGCGTGGTAGCGCGGGCCTGTAGTTCTGGTTACTTGGAAGGCTGAGGCGGAAGGATTGCTGGAGCCCAGCAGGTCAAGGCTGCAGTGGCCGGGAGCGTGCCACTGCACTCCAGTCTGGGCGACAGAGTGAGACTCCAACTCAAAAAAAAAAAAAGGAAACACGTCCCTGATTCAAGCTGCTTCTTTCTCAGTCTACAGAAATGAGAGTTCCCCAAGAGAATGGCTTTGAAGTTCCTCCTCACGCTGACCTGAGTGGGGAGCAGGTGCTTGATGCCTGGGAACTGTGAGTGTGGTGGGGAGGGGCTGATGAACCTGGATGTGTGGGGACACCCCATGTGGGGCTGAGGCGGCTCCAGAAGACCCAGCCACAGTCCAGTCCTCAGCCTTGACCACAGACTGACCCCAACCAACCCACAGCCCAGTCTACAGAATGATCTCTAACTCTGACCTGAGACAGATGAAGGATTGATCCTGAACCTTGACCAGGGTGAGACTGACCTCTAACCCTGGCCAAAGACTGACCCTTAGCTCCACCCCAAAGTTACCCTAACCTAGACCCAAGACTGAACTTGTAATCCTGACCCGAGATTGACCCCAACCTTTTATTTTTTACTTTTTTATTTGAGTTGCAGTCTGTTGTCCAGGCTGGAGTGCAGTGGCACAATCGCAGCTCACTGAAGTTTCAAACCCCTGGGCTCAGGTGATCCTTCTGCTTCAGTCTCCCAAGTAGCTAGGACTACAGGCACGCACCACTATGCCTGGCTAATTTTTTAAGTTTTTGCAGAGATTAGGTCTTGCCATGTTGCCAAGGCTGGTCTCCAACTTCTGTGCCCAAGCAGTCCTCTCAACTCAGCCTCCCAAAGTGCTGAGATTACAGACGTGAGCCACTGTACCAGGCCAGAAGTGCATTTTCTTTTTTTTTTTTTTGAGTTGGAGTCTCACTCTGTCACCCAGACTGGAGTGCAGTGGCTGCTCCTGGCCACTGCAGCCTCAACCTGCTGGGCTCCGGCGATCCTTCCACCTCAGCCTTCCAAGTAGCTGGAACTACAGGCCCGCGTTACCACACCTGGCTAATTTTTTGATTTATTGTAGAGATGAGGTCTCACCAAGTTGCCCAGGCGGGTCTCGAACCCGCGGGCTCAGGCAATCCACTCACCTCAGCATCCCAAGGCGCGGGATTACAGGCTGAGCCACTGAGCCTGGCTCAGAAGTGCATTTTCAAGGACCTAGTCCCAGATGTAAATTTCTAGATCCTCACGGGTTTATGAAGTCCACCTTATAATTTTAGAACCATAACTAATTCACCCAATACTTGGTGGTCCTTCATTTAAAATTATAATAAAATATAAAAGATGGGGACTCAGTCTAGGTTAAGGACTAAGATGAAGGAACAATGTGTGATCAGATTTAAAAACAACCATTTCTAGTTGGCTCGGTGGCTCAGTCTGTAATCCTGCGCCTTGGCAGGCTGAGGTGAGAGGATTGCCTGAGCCTGTGGGTTTGAGACCCGCCTGGGCAACTTGGCGAGACCGCATCTCTGCAATAAATAAAAAAATCAGCTGGGCATGGTAGCGCATGCCTGTAATTCCGGCTACTAGGAAGGCTGAGGTGGAAGGATCGCCTGAGTCCAGCAGGTCGAGGCTGCAGTGGCCGGGAGCGGCCACTGCACTCCAGTCTGGGTGACAGAGTGAGACTCCAACTCAAAAAAAAAGAAAAAAAGAAAATGCACTTCTGGCCTGGTACAGTGGCTCACGTCTGTAATCTCAGCACTTTGGGAGGCTGAGTTGAGAGGACTGCTTGGGCACAGGAGTTGGAGGCAGCGGCCATTGCACTCCAGTCTTGGTGACAGAGTGAGACTCCAACTCAAAAAAACCAAAACAAAACAAAAAAACAAAAAGCAAAAAAACCCTAACCATTTCTTTAGCTGGGCGTGGCAGTATGCGCATGTAGTTCCGGCTACTTTGGAAGGCTGAGGTGGAAGGATCACTGGTGCCTATCAGGTCGATGCTGGGGTGGCCATGAGTGTGCCACAGCACTCCAGTCTGGATGACAGAGTGAGACTCCAACTCAAAATAAACAAAAAAGAAGCCCCAAAATAACCATTTCTACATTCAGTCAGCATGCTTTCTTCAAGCCCTACCAGGCACTAGGTACCAGTGAGTCAGGGACAGTCTACCTCTGGTCATTCTCAAGTCAAGGTTGGAGTCAGGCTGGGCACAATGGCTCACGCCTGTAATCCCAGCACTTTGAAAGGCTGAAGGAAGAGGACTTCTTGAGCCTAGGAGTTCGAGACCAGCCTGGGCAACATGGTGAGACCTCATCTATGCAAAAACTAAAAGGATTAGCCAGGCATGGTGGTGTGTGCCTGTAGTCCCAGCTACTTAGGACTGAGGCTGAAGGATCACCTGAGCCCAGGAGGCTGAGGTTGTGGTGAGCTGTGATCGTGCTACTTGCCCCCTATCCTGGGTGACAGAGTGAGACCCTGTCTAAAAAACAAAAAGGTGGAAGGAAGGAAGGAAGGAAGGAAGGAAGGAAATGCACTTCCCAGGATGCTAAAGACCTTTTCTCTGACATTGTTGTTCCTCAAACGATTTTAGTCCTCTTTGGAAGGGCAAGTCTTGTTCTCACCTAACTAATCCCCAATCCTTTAAACTCAACCACTCAGGTCCCCTGATTTTGTAATAGGACAGCCCCAAATTCTGCTGAGACAGTCCTTCAATCCAGACAGACTCCTGGCTTGGACCACATGCCCTGCCTGACACTAGTGACCAGCTCAAGAGCTCAGTGAGGACAAGGGCTGCCTCCTATTCATCCCCACAGACCCAGCCCAGTCCTAACAGCGTGCACACAGTAGGTGCTCAAGAAACATGCACCAAACGAACAGATAGATAGAATGACTTCAATTAGGACCAGAGTCTCCCTCACCCCTGCTTATGGATGGACTGCTAATTTTAATCACAAACTGTTTCCTAAACAAAACTACAGGAACAGGCAACTAGAATCTTGAGCCCCCCCAAGGACACCGATCAGCTCTTTGTCTCCTTGGCAGAAAGCACATACACATAGTAGGTATACAACAAATATGGGCTGAATGAAGGGTGGTCTAGTAGTGTTCCCTCCCCCATGACACACAGGCCTCTTCTCACCCCATGAGAGTCCCTCCCTGCCCACCCCATGAGAAGCAGCAACCCTTCCTGACCCCCTCCTCTGCCTTGCCTTTCTTCTAGTACCTACCCCCACCTGACGCAGTGCCTATTACTAGTTCACCTGTACACTGCCTACCCCCCTCCACTAAAATTTCAGCAACTGAGCCAGGGCTTTTCCTCCTGTGGTTTACTGCTCCGTCCCTAGCTCCTATCCCAGTGTGGGCGTGTAGCAGGTGCCTACTGGATATTTGCATGGAAAGAACAGCTCTCAGTCCCACTGGCCGGTAATGTTGAGATGGCACCTAATTCTGAGTGCACATTGTCCTTAACCTGACCCAGATTGCCCCGAGGCTGATCACACAGCTTGAACCCCAGACAGGACTCCAAACAGTTCTCTCGTGTTAACCAAGGATGATCTAATTCTCACTGCCATTCTGTGAACTGTCTGAGGGTAGGGCTTGATCCTCATTTACTTATGCCTGGCACATAGAAGGTGATCAATACATACGTGCTGTAAGAATGAGTTCCCACCGGCTAATGCTGATCACAATCACAGACAGTCCTTAATCCTGCAACACAGGGCTCTGGAACCTGACCCCAACCAGACAGATATTGATTCCCAGTCCTGCCCAAACACCATCGCTAAAGAGACCACATACTGGCTGGATCCAAGCAACGACTGAACTGATTCAGGCCAACTGACAGCAGACCTGGACTAGCTCAGATTAAACCCTGATTCTGACCTCATACTGAGCCCCAATCCTAACTTCATACTGAACCCTGAGCCAGATCGTCAATATCCCTTATCATGACCGCTGGCCAACTCCTCATTCTGGCCACAGACTGACCTCAGACAAATCTCTGATCAGACCCGGAACTAGTTACTAAAGCTGGGAACCCCCTGAGACCTTGATGATCTTGTACTTATTTTTAAGTCCCAAAGCCCACCACAATATCTTAGGACCAACAGCACTTGAGAAAGTCTGCTGTGTGAGCCTATGAATGTGTGCTGGGACCCCAATCCTACAGTCCAAAGACCATCCATCCATATCCCCACAGATGGGCTCCTGCCTCAGACTCCCTCCCCCCCTAAGCTCTGTCCCCAGGCACACCCCCAGCCATGGGGTGACAAGGTGAGTTCCCTCTCTCCCTCCTGGTGCCTCCTCCCTTTTCTCTGGTTCCTGAGCACCAGGCAGTCCTGGAGGTCCCTCCCCCAAGGTCGAATCAATCCGAGCTGAGAAGAGAATACAGTCCAGATTTTCCTAGACTCCCTGGGAACACACTGCAAGCCAGTGAGGTTCTCCTTGCTATGTCTGCACACTTATCATTCTGAGGAAGCCACATACCTCCAACGGACCAACCTATAGGTCAACAACCTATGCCCAGTCCAAGCAGGAGGAGGCTAGTGGGTGAGGGAATGGACAATTCGCTCTTCAAGCTTTTGTCATATTTCTTCTGTTCTTTTTCTAAATTAATTAATTGGCTGACTAATTCATTTATATATTTGAGTCAGGGTCTTACTCTGTCACCCAGGCTGGAATGCAGTGACACCATCATGGCTCACTGTAGCCTCAAACTTCTAGGCTTGGGCGATTCTCCCACCTCAGCCTCCCAAGTAATTGACACTACAGGCACATGTCACCACACTCAGCTAGTTTATTTTTTATTTTGTATAGAGATGGGGGGGTCTCACTATGTTGGCCAAGCTGGGCTCAAGTGACCCCTGGCCTCAGCCTCCCAAAGTGATGGGATTATAGGCGTGGGCCACTGTGCCTGGCTGAGATTTCTTCCTTAATCTTACCCCCTACCCTGAACTTTAGGAGAGTGCTAGGATATTCCTGGACTTGAAAGACAAAGGAGGATCTAGAGTGCCCGAGGTTAGGGGCAGGGATGGCTTACTCACTCAAAATGCTTCTTGATCTTTTCTGACTCGGCATATTTGGAGATTCCATTGATGAAGAGCGTCCGCTTCACCTGTGTGAGAGGGGTATGGGCTTGCCTTTCTGAGGCCCAACTGCAGAGGAGCCAGAGGATGCAGGGACAGGCTGGAGAAAGGTGCTTTGTTTTGAGGGGGTGGAGAAGGGGCGAGCAGGGAAGAGCCAACAGAGGTGGGAGGAGCCTTAGGGATAAACCAAGTCCTGGGACAAGGGGTGGGTGTCTCTTAATAGAAATCAGGCAGTGAGCCTCACAACAGAGCCACGCAGTCCCTCGCTCTTTGAGGGGTCCCAGAGGCAGATGACAGAGGTGGGGAGCGGGTACCAGTCTCAGATCTGTAGCTCCTGAGGACCCAGCACAGGGCGGGCATGGAGCAGGAGTTCAGTGTGGGCTTGGTGAGTGAATGTAGTAGGGGAAAGAATATTATTTCCTGAGTGCCAGGCACAGCCTGGGTGCCCCCATGCATTGAGAGAGGCACTGCTGTTATCCTTTTTTACAGATAAGAAAACCAAGGCTTGGGAGGTCTTGCAGCTTGTAGGATGGGGCTACCTGAGCTGCTGCGCTAGGACTCAGACCCAGCTGGCCCAACCCCATGGCTGACACCCGTGGGCTGAGACAAGAGAGGTCTGGAGGGAGGGAGAGAGGCTGGGGTGCGGGCAGGCCCTGGGCTCTGGTCTGCTCACCAGATCGTCCTCTTTGTAGCGCATCTTGGAGGTGTGTCGACGCATGCTATAGACGGTGAGCAGCAGGTACAGGAAGGCGAAGGAGGTGTGCAGCCACAGCAGGTTGTTCCTGGGGGTGCAGAGGGACACGTGGGCCAGGACTCACTCAGGTGTACCCAGCCTCCCTTGTTAAACCCTTGGCAGAGGCAGGGACCACCACTGCCACTTGTCTTCTGGCACTGGCTCTCATGGGGCGGGCCCACATCCCATATCCCCTAGACCCCAAGGCTGCTCCAGCCCGGTGGAAATGTCCCTGAGAGGTCATCCCTTCAGGCCCTGTCCACTGGCTCCGGTGCCCCCCAGCTGCCCCAGCTGCCCCAGCCAGCCCTCCCTGGCTCCTGGGCTTTACCCTCCTCTTCTGTATCTGGTCATCCTTAGGGATCCTTTTCTATCTTCAACCCAAGCCCCTGACAGCTGCCTCTACAGCCACAGCCACCTCTCCCCTAACATGCCCCCTTCCCTCTTCACCCAAGTTAAGGTCCAGACTCTGGCCAAAGACTCCCCACCCCAACCAGCTTCCCACCTTACCCTGATTTCAAGTTGGCAATAGTGGTTCTCCCAAAGCTGTAGGCATTGTTCTCTGGTGGGTGGGAAGGAGGAGAGGATGAGGGCGGGGCCAGAGCACATCCCCTCTGGCCCGCCTTTCTCTCCCCCAGCTGCCCTGGCCTTCACTGACCCAGCAGGTCCCCTGAGAAGTTGACGGGCAGCACGATGCCTACGGACAAGACGCCCACGACCACCAGCAGCCCGATGATGTGTCTCTGGAAGGACAGGTAGTGCACGGCGTCGCCCCCACACTTGTCCCGGATCTCATCATCCCTGCAGCCGTGAGGGGTGGGGAGGACAGGAGAATTAGGTTAGGACCAGGGCAAGGGACAAGCCTCAACCTGCCTGCCCTGACCTGCCCCCGCCCCCGCCCCCAGCC